CTCCCCCATAGCTCAGGTGCCCCTACAAGGCTTGGGTGCCCCCATGGCTCAGGGTCCCCTGGAGCTCAGGTCTCCCCACTGCTCAGGTGCCCCAATAGCTTGGGTCCCCGCATGGCTTGGGTGCCCCGCAGCCACGATCCCTGCACACCTTGGGTCTCCACACAACTCTGGTGTCCCACAGCCCTGGACCCCACACATCCTGGGTGCCCTACGACTCAGTGCACCCCATGGCGTGGCAGACCCCACCTGACCCATCCCATGCAGCCCGTGGCTTGGGCAGCTGTCCCAGACCCCGCTGCCCTGTCGTGTGCCCTCTGGCCACCATCCGAGGGCTGCCTGAAGGGCATGTCCTGGGGCTGTGGGCAGGAGCTTTGGGCACAGCTTCCACCAGCTCCGGCAGGCCCCAGCAGCAGCAGGGATGTGCTGCCCTGTATCTGCCTGGTGCTGACGCCTTGCTTGCACTCATCCCATTTCAGCCCATCCTTGCTTTGTGCCCAGCTTGCATTTGCTGCTTTGGGGCTGGGAAGGGGAGGTTGTGTCCAACAAGCCCCAAGATCTGCCCCCCCAAAGTCTCCCCTGATCCAGGTAGGGGGCGTGGGGCTGCTGGCAGCTCCATGCACAGCATATTTAACAGTGCGTGGGACCGGCAGCTGGGAAACTAGGAAAGAGCAGGGGCTGGATCAGTCCTGTGAGGGGAAGTGCCTCTGCAGGGTGGGAGAGGCCATGAAAGAATCTCTGACCCCTCTTGAGGTGGATTTTTCCTTGCTTTTACGGGGGAGAACAGCCCAACCGGGGAGGTGTTTGCCTTCCCAGAGACCCCCAGCCCTGGGGGGAGGGATCAGCCACTGGGGAGGCATCAGCCAGGCAGGATCACCCAAACTGCTCTGCCCCTGCCTGCAGAGCTGCCTGCTTGGTCGGGTAGGCAAGGAGGGGGCTCAAAAGTGGGTGTGATGTCCCTCTCTCCCCCGGACCGGGGACAAAACGCTCCACCACCCCACCATGTCCCCTTGCCTCCTCTTGAGCAAGCCCCCAGGCGGGCAGCTCAGCTGGCGTTTGCAAGCCTGGCTCTTGCACAACCTTCCCGGCAGCTCTGGCCCCGTGCTGCTCCCTGGGGGAAAAATCCCGCTGCAAAAGGGGGCGAGGAGGGGGGCTGGCTGGGTGAGACGGGGCTCAGCACCAGCCCCAGCAGACAAAGTGGCTTTACCCTTCCAAAGGCAAAAAGGATGGAGCCCCAGAGCCAAGAGCTGATGGCTGGATCCGGTAGAGCCCACAACCCCTTTTTGGGGGTCTGACGTAGCGGGGCAGGCGCTGGGGGCTCACCTTGACGTGCCTGTCGTCTGCCGTGGTCTCATCAAACTCCTCACCCAGCTTGAAGCTGATCTCCGTGTTTTTGAAGGTGCTTTGAGTCTTCACCGTGATCTTGTCGCCCGCCACCTCGATGATGGTGGTGGGTTTGGTGAGGCTGCCTACCTGCTCCTAGGGGACCCCAGGTGTGCCCACCACAATTTGGGGGGGAAGCCAGGGCAGGAGCAGGGAGGGAGGGGGGCTGGGAACACTGCCATTGCTTGGGGATGGATCCTGCACCAGCACCCACCAGCTCCGGGGGTGGGGGGGTGCCGGTGTCACCCCCCCCAATCCCGGGCTGCTCCTGGATGG